TGTTTTGGCTGTGAGCGGGACTCGAACTCGGGTCGCCGGGTTCATAGCGCAGCGCGCTAACCACTACACTCGTATTGGTCTTCAACAACAACAACAACAACCGCCATTCGTCACCACGGCGCCTGTGCCAGGCTATGTGCACGTTAAGGCCACGTGAAGTGTCGAACGCCCGCCAACAGGGAGGTCCCACGGGACAGACCCAGCAGGTGCCATGGGGTTGACCGACTGAGACGAGAGTCAGTATTGGTCTTCACGGCCGCAATCACACACACACAAAGTGACGTCACAGTGAGCAGCGTCATCTTCGCACACGAAGGACTACGACAAATACATCTCATCAGAAGAATCCGCTGCCATCACCTACGCTTGCGCAAAGATCGCGGCGATATGTTCGGGATCTAAATGGCCGACGTCATCGAGGTTTGCTAAGGGGCCGTCCATAAATGACGTCACACACCTGGGGGGGGGGGGGGGGTCAGACATTTGTGACGATGTGTGACGATGGGGGGGGGGGGGGGGGTGAGAAATGTGACGTCACATCAAAATGCGCAACTTTAAATAAATATAGACAACACGTTCTACTTAATTAATTAGAATTTTTAATAAATGTTTTCTCCTACAACATCAGAGTGCAGCGCCACATTAAATACGCACTACAATGACAATAGTTTAAAGCGATTTGAAGCTTGTTTTATTTGGGGGGGGGGGGAAGCTTTGTGACGTCATATTTCAGCGGGGGGGGGGGGGTTGTCTTTTTGTGACGTCGTGTGACGAGGGGAGAGGGGTCAAAAATCGTCCAAAATCGCTTGACGTCATTTATGGACGTCCCCTAAGGCACGGCGAGAGAGGGCTTTCAGGAGAGAGCTCGTGTCGTTCTGGCGTTCCTCGACTGTTGAAGGGAGCACAGGACTTCAGCCGGTTTATTTGCCTTTCGGCCCCATCGTGTTGGGTGACATGGCCACAAACGCACCGCTGTGGATTGCTTCTTTAATTTTGCATTCATGAAGGAGACGTTGCCCATCTGCCTGCTGTTGATGGTGTTCTGATGCTGTCGATAGTTACACCACCGGTGTCTTCGAGGAGGAATCTCAAATTGCGACGTTTGGAATCATTTAAACGATAATCCGTTTTGTTCCCGTACCGGTACACGAATGTGACAAAAACGAAACATAGCTCTACAAAACAAGGTGCAATCACACTGCAGAGAGTAGAGGCAGCCCCATTACAAACTCAAACAACAACAGAAACCTGCAAGCACAGCATTCATTAACAAAAAGGTGGAGCGGTCCTCCTGGAGAAGGTGCTGATTTATTTACACTGCCAGCGTTAAACAAATAAGCACCCCACCAACCCCGTTATCCTGAAGCTCCCCAGCATGCAGCCAAACAACAAGCGTGGCTGGTGAGTGCACCCATTCACTTAAAAGTGTGTTTATTTTAATTACTGCCGTATTACGTATTATTATGTAAAAGCAAATTGTCTCGCATGTCACATGTACATAACCCCCGCAGTTTGGCTTGCTGGTGCCATACTAAATAAATTAAGTGGCGTTTGTAAACACGGAGGCCTCTACATTAGCACAATGCCTGAAAGGCTGGCGGAGATATTGTTGATCATTACGCCGCTTTATTGCTAAGTCGTTGTGCGTTGCTGCAATCAACCGCTCGGAACGATCTGATCATTCTCCTTTTTTACTGCTTTTTTATTATTATTGCGCGTGCTTTGGGGGGAGGGGGGGGAGTGCTCGTTGTCGAAATACAGCCGCGATTAGCCCGATTGTGATTTATTGCGAATATTCATTTTGTCGCGATTGCAGTCATTGGGGAATATTTGATGCATTGGACGCTTGCTCGCATCGGTGGTGCACGGATGCCAGCTCTACCCTCTACCGTTGCGGAGGCTACATCGGGCACGCGCGTTCTGTGTACGCGTAACGAGACGCATCTTGCCCGTGTGGTCACTCTGCTGCTGTTGCTCCTGCAGCTGCAGCGGCGCGGGCTGCAGATGTTTGTCGGACCATACTTCAGTGCCGGTCAGCGTGTGATCGGTGAGGTGTGCGGTACAATACAATAACGTAGCCCCGCAGGAGCCTGTAACACCTGTGATGCATGGCGGTCACCCATCCGTACAATGTACAGGCTCAAACCTGCTGAGCTTATGGATGATTTAATGATGATGATGATAATAAACAATACATTTGTTTACCCAGGGTAGCACCATTGCACTTATAGACTTTGTCCGGGGAGTCCTACATTGAAATAAGATGTTTGGGAACCTTAAAAAAAAGTATTACTCGAATATCTATATTCACATAAATGAAAGAAAATTGTAATGCGCGCATAATTAACTTGCATGTAAGGGGAGTCCATTCAAGTTACAAGTCACAGGCGAGTTTGCTGTACTCTCTCCTACAGGCAACTTAGAGGTGCATGTCTCATACAGGCTCCATCATGTCTACATGCCACCAACCCCACTTTTTTCAGAGTGATGGCATACACCAGCACACCAAGGAATACGAATGAATGCACGTGTGGAATTTGCCGGCAACCCGCATGGATGTTTCGAGACGCTACGACAATTTGTGACATTCGCACGTACACACCAACGTTGAACAGATTGACAGAATTGGTGCAGGACAATTGCTATTTACATTATTTCCTTCTGTGATGTGTTGGATAATTAGCACGATACATCGTTTTGTCAAATTAATTAGTTTGAATCGTGAAAATAACGTATCTGCATTGGCCATTTGTTGACTGATATTTTTCAGGCGACAAGAATGCTTGTAAATATATATTTTTTTCAGGGCGTATTTCGCGGCTGTGAGGTGTCACCCAACACTTGTTTACAGTGGCAGTTGTTGCAGGATTCTGTGAGTCACCGATTCACCGGCCAGTGCCGCTCCTACCTGTGGTTGGAAATGATCAGCTCCTGCGGAGAGCACACGTATTTTGGGGCTTCCTTTTCTCACGAACCAGAGAACATTTAGTCATTGCCCGCTTTAAGAGTTGAATGATTGATTACGAGCCACAAACTGTAAAACAAAATGTTACACACAGAATACATGTTTTGTAAGCGATTATTTTTTTTACACCTGATAGGGGACAGGTTTTTTTTTTTACGCCAGGACTCATTTCGCTTTCCACCTCGCAGCTCCTGCTCAGAAAAAAAAAAACTTTCCGCACCAGCGGCTCTGCGTATCGCTGTGCAGTCGCGTCAAGGCTTCTGTCTTTTCGAGATATGCAACTTGACCTTCCAACTATGCAGAACACGCACATTGACAACATGTCCCCCCCCCCCCCCACTGCTTTTTGCACACTTTGAAAAACGACTGTCGTCGGCATTGAGCATAAGATGTATGTAAGGGATGTTTGCTTGTTAAAGGAAATTTTACAATCCCCTTACTCAAGGTATAGATAATTGTCGCTGTACAGCGTTACCCTGCTTTTGGCGAATATGTTCTCACATTCAAACGCTCACGACCCGACACTAACAAGGAACATAATCGCTCGCTCTGCCAGCTCAGCGCTTGATGTGAACGTGTGCCAGGCACAGAACAGATCATTTAAATACTTTTGCGACTTTCAAACTGGTGCGCGGACTTGATGCCAACCACAATCCCACATACTAAACACAACAAACGAGTGCAAAATCATTCTTAACTTCTAAGCAATCCATTGTATTTTAACACGAATGCTACGCAATAACACAACATTGCCTAACATTCTCAGCTTCACATAGGTAAATGAGTAGCACCATAATAAAATTTTATTTTACATAAAAAAGTACTATCCGCAATATTTTGCATGAAGTTTGATAAGCACGACCACTGACCACAATCACTGAATCTAGGCAGTGCTGCGACTTTTTTGAGTAACAAAAATAAAAGTTTTTGCAGAGTTGCCGCATTTAGCCGAATTTACATTAGCAGCAGGGCCTGTCCAGTTTGGAAGTTATGATTCATATTTGTGGTCACGGGCCATATTCACCTTTTCCATGGCGTCACGTGCACACAAATGGGTCTTGCAAAAGTCAAACGGACTTCTCTCCCCCCCCCCCCAACTACCACCACCCATTCAGAATATCACGTGACCTATCTGGCGTTTGTAACGATCTTCTCACACCAGGTGTAGATATAAAGATTGATTAGCCCCCATGCTTACATGCTGCTTTCACACAAACGGTCACCGCCGACGCTGACAATTCAAGTAAACAAGCATGGGCCATCATGGTTTTGTTTTAATGGTTTTGTTTTAAATATTTTTTTTTTTAAACTGGACAGGGCGATCCATGTATAGATACCCCATCGATTTCTATTCACCCTCCCAATAGCGGGGTCCGACTGTTCCAACCGCATACCCACGTTGGCTCCTCGCCACCTTCTCAAAAGGGGATTGACTATTGCATAAGCACTTCTCCGAGGAGAACATTACATCGCAATAATTATATTGGGACTTGTGGGAGGCAGTTACGACGAGGCTTTGAAAGAAAATATAGTTCTCCATTTCTCCGTATAATTTTAGTTATGCAATCTATAAATGGATCGCCCAGCAGAGTATAACTGCTGATGTTCTCTTCAAGCAGTAGTGAGGTGTGTGTGTGTGTGAATATGTGCGTGCAGTGTGCTGAAAAAAGTACTGGCTGCTCTGCGTTTCACTTGATAATCAATTCCAAGTGTGAACAATTGAATCCAGGTGCAAATAGTGGCGTTTAAGTGTGCATTCATATCAATATCTCGCTCCTGGCTCGGGCGGTTAGAGATAAGTGCATAAATATTGGGAGGGGGGGGGGGGGGGGCTCCAAATAGGTTCCAACATTCGGGTTACTGAAGCTCATTATAAAATATTGGGGTCCTCCAAACTTTCCGATTGCTCAGTGTGTGTTTGGCAGACGTATGCACGCGTGCGCACATTACACGCACGCTTGTTTTGCCTGTGGTCATAATTATGAAGATGGGCTGGAGCCGCCCGCGACGTGGAAAGGGAACCAGGCCGACACAATTACCAGAAACATTTGCAATATTTTATTTTAAAAAAATGAAGCATGCTACAGTTACTTTACAACGTACACGTACGATAGAAAACAAGTGCAATTCATAGGGTAAACTGTTACGTCTAAAAAAGAAAATACAATGGTACGATGGATGACGACGCAACACCAACAACAAAATGTAAAATATTGTACGTTTTGATTTTTCTTTTGCACGCGAATCCATCGCAAAGACCTTAAAACACGTGGAATGCTTTAATATTTTGATAACACTTTTTTTAATATACACCAGCCTTCTTAACATATTACAATGTTTCCTTAAAGCATTACAAGTAACTATTGGCCAACAATTTTTTGCGTTTATAAAAACACGGTACACACACACACACAGAGACCTGTGGAGCCAAATTATAATCGCAAATTGTGCAAGTGCTCGACGGACCACAACTTAAGTATCGAACAACTTATTTAAAAAAAAACCTGTTAATTAAAATAAAACGTGACTTAAAAAATGGCTTGTTGGATGAACTGTAGAAATATATTTAAAATGTGCCAACAGCTTTTTTTTGTCGTTTTTGTTTTAAATTTGGCAAGTTTTGCACAATACTGTACAAAATCCGACACGTTTTATTGTCGCACTTGGCACAAATTGAACTGCAGATTTACAAAAAGCTGTCACTCCGCGCGAGGAACAGTGAACACTACGGTAAATATGCAAATACAAAGAGAATAAATATCATTTAAAACCACAACACTGTATTTTCAGACTGAACACGTTATGTTCCGTAATGCTTCTATTTGAGGTTAGTAATATTCAGTAATGAGAGCAGGGAATTGTTGTGCCCAAGTCTGCAACATCACACACCGCAAGAGCAATTCTATACAGAAACCAGGGCAGTAAAGGTACATTGCCTGGATTCTTAAGACCGTTCTCTGTCTCGTCTATTTTTTTTTTAAATCACACCGGGGAAACGATGCAGTACATCCAGTCTAGTTTTAATGATGGTTGCAACACTGCTGAGGGCCTCTTTTGCACTCCGTACCTTGGGAATGTCGTTGGCGCATTTGGCACACGAAGGGCCCATGCTTGCGAATGGGAACCGCGGGGATGCCTGGCAAGTCGACACAGGACGTGCCCCCCCCCCCCAACCCCTACAAAGCACGGAATGCTTATTTTATATTTTGTGTTGTTTCCCTCAAATAGTTTTCTCGGGGAAGGCAGCTGGGCAACACGTGTTGGCTCACGTTTGGCTTGGAGGTGAGGAAGGCATCACCATCCTGGAGCTCTTGGCCATTAACAGTGCAATGGCTGAAATCGTTCCCGAACCCCACACAGCCTACTTAGCGCGCCCAACTGCTTCCGCTTTCGCACAAAGAGTACCTATTTTGGCATTTAAAATCACATTTTATTTGGCGACAATGTGCATCAAGTTAAGAGGAGTACATTTCGCCTGCCTTTTTAAGCAACGATATCACAGTTAACCCTGTCCTTTCATAACTAAATTAAAACGTACATATGTTAAACCCAAATGATCACCATTTGCCTGTCAAAAAATTAAGCACTGGTCAGTCAGGGTTTCAAATAAAATAGACCCATAAGTATTATAGAAAGGCAGGTTCTTCAGAAAAACACACGCAGCAGAAATGCAATCACCTGCGATCCAATAATCCGCAAATCCCTGCAATTTTCGGATTATTGGCGGTTCGCAACTCCTCCCGGTAGCTGTGGCAGACCGCGGTGGACGCCAAAAAAAAAGGGTTTGCAGAATATTTGGTGTAACCCCCGCGGAGCAACGAGGCTTTACAAGATCCACGGACATGGTCACCAAATACCAATGCGGTTGATTGGATTTCTGCCACAATACTTTTTTTGTACCGTGGGGCAATAAAAAAAAATCATATATACTAAGTTTCCATCGCACAGTCCTAAGAATCCAGTTAGAAATGTTTAGCACCCTCGCACACACCGTGGAGAATCCTGCATCTTTGGGGATTTTGGAGAAACGATCGTTTTTCAGGAGCTCTAATGAGGTCTTTTTGCCATCTGCTTCCAACCTGAGTTAATGAGTTTTCTTGGTTAAGTGAACTGGGCTGTCTAGATGCCGAATGGCTACCAACTGCAAACTATCACTACCACCCCCTCAATCTGTATACGCATCTATTGCAATTAAAACATTGAGAAAACTCTAATTTAAACAGACAATGTAGCTGTGGATTGCAGCGTTTAAGTTATTTTCTTGAAGTTTCAATTCCAACATTAAGATACATTTTCAAGAACATCCCTTATTTAAAATATCAATATCTTTATCATTATCGTCATTTATTATTTGCCTTTAATACACTGTAATAAAAGCATGCTTCTTAAATTGTTCAACCATCAACATAACTATATTATTTTTAAAATTTTCCTGCCTTTCAGCACAACAGCCAACTGTTGGAAAGGTATTTCTCTCTAGCAACACAGTATATATATACAGCAACGTACAAACATGGCCTAAACCTCAACAGCCTTGGTTCATGAGTGACAGCCAACAGAGGGTATTTAAAGCTGGTCCAATCATTCCATATGCTGCATGTTGCAAAACAGAAAACGCTAAAAAATAAAGCATTTAAAACACAATCGCCATCACTGAACTGCGGTAAACGCCCCCTTCGCAGTCTCGGGGCCGAGGGAGAACAGAACCCAGCAGCAAAAAAAAAACCCACGCGTTCATCCCTAAGAAGCTGAAGCATGCGGCGCACAGGTGGCTTCGATTCAAATCGCGCGCAACGTCAATTTGGAGGAATACCATTGGTCAGAGCGCCCCGGTAGCTATTGTAGCACAGAGTGCGCCTCGCTCAATCGTACAGCTTGCCCTGCCATACCTACAGAGGCAGGGAGGGAGGGTGGGGCTTTTTGAACACTGACCGTGGTGGAGTGTGAGGGGCAGGCAGTCCTGCACTGGCTGCGGCCCCTGGGCGAGGAGGATGGGTTTGGAGGGGATTGTGGCCTTCACTTTAGCCAGCACCAGAGCTGGAATATGCGGGCGAACGCGGTGGATGCCGAAGTTAGTTCTCTCTTAACGCTGCATTAAACAGCACGCTTGGGTTGTAAGCGAGATGCGGATGAGGGCCGAGAGGAGGGTGGCACTTGGTGGGAAGCAGGAATTTTCAAAAAGCCTTGAAAGCACGCATCAGGCAGCAGCTAAACTGGCAGAGCAGATGAGCCAGGCTAGGCTACCAGGTGGGAAATTCCACGCGTTCCCAGCCACTGTGTTTATATACCTCGCGTGAGCAATCCCAGCCTCAACCGGTTCAATTGACATTGCTGCCGAATCAAGCCACCGGCATACACTGTACGTTTAACAAAGCGAGTACACGTGGAAAAGCGGTAAAATTTAAAACAAAAACCATAAAATACAGTCAACCGCAATATCTGATCCTCCTCTCATCAAGTTAAAATGGCTAAAGTGAATGCCTGTGTTTTCTGCAAGGGCCCACAACCCCCCAGCAAACATAATGCCCTGCCCACTGAGCTGCTCCAGCAGCAGCAATTGAGATGAACAAGCCCTAGCACTGGCCTTTACGGCAGAGAGAGAGAGAGAGTAGACGGGGCACTGGGGCAGCAGGCCATGCAGAGCAAGCCACAAAGCATTGCCGACCAAAAATAATTACGAAACAAAAATAGGTGGATACTTTTCGGGTCGCTCAGATAGCCTGCACGAGGCTTGTGTGCAGAAACGGAATTTGACGTCTTCCCTGCTGAATATGTCTGGATGATGGGAGGCCTGTGCCAAGGGAATGCGATCCGCACACATTGACGAGGGTTTAGATGGATAACGAAAGGGGGAATAAAAAAAACACGTCTACAAAAGCAACCAATCAAATAACGGGATCACAGAGGCCATTATTATAAATGCGTGCCCCACCCCCCCCTGAATGTTAAATTTGTCCAACGCAATATTTACCCTGAAGTCCACTCCCGGTGAGATGGGCATGCAAGCACTGGACCGCAATGAGGGAGTGAGTGAGTGGGGGAGGGGGGACACACCTGTCTGTGCAGTGTGACGTAACGGGGTGGTGGGGGGGGGTGTGTACTGTGTCGTCACACAAGTGAATAAGAGAGGGTGCTGAGCAAACGGTGTGGTGGTGGTGACGTGCTCTTGTGAATTGGTGTCAAGCGCACACGGTGCAGTCAAACAAGGTTTCCGTGCCATGGGAAAAACAAAAATGTGCACGTGCAGTGACGTGAACTGTGTTGAAGTGTCCAAACTATCTGGGTGAGAAGTTCAAGAATGTGCAAGCAGTGGTATTAAACACACAGAGTGATAAAGTGTGTGTGGGGGGGGGGTGGTGTTGGAGGTATTACACACGCACAAGGGTGAGGGGGGATGATTAGTGCTGGGGAATCTTTGAGCGAGCGTGCGAGTGAAGTCACAGTGCGGTTCAAGCGGGTGGAGGATCGTCACGTGTGTAGCAGCAGCAGCAGCAGCGCGTGCAAGGGGGGGGGGGGGGGGTGCGGAGCGGCTCGCCGGGTTAAGTGCGCGCCGATCGACCGTCGCCGTAGGGTCGGCGCCACGCGACTACGAGCTCGTGGTCGAAATGTGCCTGTGGCTGAGCGGTCAGCGAGTGAGTGGGGGGGGGGGAGGGCTACAGAGAATGGGGGCATCAGTTGGGGGGGGTGGGGGGGGGCCGGCGGCAGCCCATCGGGGCAATGTGGCCGGATGGGGTGGCGGTTGCGTTAGATGGACGTTAATTGGCGTGCTTGGCAGTAAGAAAGTCGGAGCTCAAGTACGTGTGGGGCGGCTCGTGCAGGCTGGGCCAGGCCCAGCAGTTGAAGGGTTGTGGAGAGGCGGACGGGGGCCATCCTAGCATGCCTCTGTCTGCAGGATTGAGGTGGTCTTTCCTTGATACGTTCCGAATGCACTTCTTCTTTCTCCTGGGAGAGAGATAGAGAGACAGGGAGAAATTGCACCGCTGTTAAGCGCAGAAGTCAAGGAGTTGTCATGGAAGGAGAGAGACGACGATGTTAACAACAAGAGCTTGTATCTCCCCCCCCCCCCCCACCCACATCATGTACCTCCTAAACCTGCATGTAATACAGTAGGCCGTACATGAACGCATCACTATCGTTAACATGCCCTGTAATTAGCGGAAGAAACCTCATTTCAAAGATTAACAAGGTCCTTTGTCCGAGATATTTGGTTATAGATTTGGATTCTAGTTTTATGTTCGACGCATTTGTTTATTAAGGTGACAATTATTTTCAGACCGACTCGACAGCAGTTGCTGAAATTTGTTTTTGAGCGTCCAACAATGCAGTCATGTCCTATTACATTTGTGTTTCAGTCTACCACAAAGTTGTACATTGCTTTAAATTGAAGCTCTACTCTATATAATCGTATCTTGTCAATCCTAAGTAATAATATCCTAAATAGAATACGGCATTTTAAAATGGATTCAGTTATAGATAATGTGAACGCGGGGATATAGACAATTTATATTTTGGGATTAAAAAAATAGTTTACATTTTAATTACTGTTAAATGTTGTATTTCATTTTAAATGGTGAAAAAGGAGGAAATGTTGCTTTGCCAATGAGCAAGCACTCCCCTGCTAACACAAGCGTGCAAGTCTGTCTATCTGTATGGGTGTACACACGTACGCGTGCGTACGTGTGTATTTTTTTATGACTTTGAATGCTACTCGGTGAATGTGCCTACAGTGTGGGGAAACTAGGGCCACCTGCAAATGCCGAGATAACAGACTTCTAACAGGTTAATTATCCCAAACAATTACAGCGGGCAAGTCGATTATCCAAACATCGGTTATCCCACTAGCACCTCAAAAGGCGAATTAAATAAGGCGGACAGATAGACGCATGATCCCCCACGAACGGAGTCACGTGACCCCCCTCATCCCCAGCGGACTTGGTGCCAAAAACTCATTTTTTTGACTAATGCGGGCCGTAGCGAAACTCGCCGCTTATCAGTTTCGAATGCCTGACCGCTGTGCAAGCCAGGGTCCCCCCCCCACCCCGTCAATAAATGCAGCGGGCGGAACAATATATTTTTCAATCCGATTTTCTTACGCGAAATGACCCTCACCGCTTGATTACAGAAATTTAAAGAGCACCTCGGAATATAAAACGGGTCGCAACACTTTTATTGCAGTATATGCCAGCGGACGATCGCAACGTTTTGAGAATGGGATTGTGAAATGTATTGTTAAACTCAACTCATATTTTTTACTCGTACTTTAACCTTTTTTGTCAACATGAAATGCCGTAACATCAATGCATTCACTATTTAATTAGTAAATATACAGCTAGAAAATTTCGCCTTAAAGTCATGTTTATGTAAAATGTGCACGTCTTTAATACAATGGTTTTAATAGCCCTTCATGTACATAAATGTTTCGACTGTATTTAAACGATTTACACTCTCTCATTGTAGGTACTTTCTGTGTTTGGGAGGTATCGGCATTAACTCGCACGAAAGGAACGGGCCTTTCTTTCAATTCACGCATCTCAGAGGTGCGTTTTGTCCTGTATGAAGTGGCATCGCGCATGAAGCAATGCTGCTTAGGAGTCGGAACAACGTGGGGGACACAGACAGACCAATAACACCACCGTCCCACAAGCTCCCTCGGCAAGACGACTGCATTGCGTTTAAAACACTTTTGCGCCTCGACTCGCACTTGCACGCGCGTTTTGACAGAGCCTCAAGAACGTCACGCTTAGCTTAGAGCTTGGGGCGGGGAGTGGCCTGTAACGTTCCACTGCATTAAAATGTCGATGCACGAATAAAATGACAAATGCAGCAGTCACGTGGTGCCACACAAGCCACGCTCGCTCACAGCCCCCTCCTGGCCCACGCAGCAGCATGACTCACACTGCGGGAGTAACCGCTTGCAACAACCGCAAACACTCACGCATGCAAATGTCAAAGCATCGGGCGGCCGTCCCACATCCTACGGTCAAATCGTTTAAAAGTGTCCCAGAGGTTATTCAAATGATTTCAAAACTTTCCATACACCCCGGTTTACTTGCATTAATTCACGCCACTTTTAAAATCATGTGCGCCGCTCGCTTAGTTGGATTCGTGTTTCACTTTCCGAGGTATGTGGCTGACATCTCATGCCTTTTGCAGGGGCTGCCTTCTTTTTGTAATTAAACGACTTAGAATTATGGGAATTATAGAACTTCTTGGTTGTACCAACGTGTAACCAAATTCACCCGTCCAGTTTTTTTTTCTTCCTCTGCAACCAAGGAGGTGTTCAATATGATGGGGCATTTAGTGACTTGCTGCATCAAATTATGTCACAAAAGCACTTGTTGGTAAATGTAGTAATTTCACAGCCTCTGCTGCGCCCATTAGCAGCGCTGCAGCAAACACTAGCAGTGTAACCCTCCTCACCGAGGGGGCATGGTTTATCCTTAAAGGTGGACACCGTTCCCAAATTCTATGGATTTGAGGTTCCTCACCAATCAACACTGGCTGGGAGAAAGGTTGAAAAAAATTCTCAGCGGCAGAAAACAGAAACGCCGTAAGAGCGTTTCGGAGTACAGTGAAGACACCGCACGGACCACTTAACTGCAACCCTCTTCTGCCCAAGTATTCCTATACTCTTTCTATTCTTTATAGAAAGAATGGCCAAAGTGTGATTTAAGATTATGCAACATGCGTTCACAAAAAAAGTACCCCACAGGGAATCACCTACATGGTGGTGAACATTAAATTAGAAAAATTACCATAATTATTACAAGGGACCAGAGTGTGTGTTGACTCGAACCGCTTACTCACCTAAACCGATTTTTGGCTGCGGGGCAGAGATAGTGTGGATGACGAGCAGTGACTCATTCATATTTTTAACTTTCTGTTCCCATTGCTTCTCAGCGCAATCATTCACCACCCGAGCTCCTTTCAAAACCTAAGTTCAAACCCGGCTCCTCCCCCCAACTATGAAGTTTCACCGTATTTGCGGTGCTCAGGGATGTTTAACATTCTGTTACGCCATGCAGTTTTGCTCTTCGGTTGGTCTTAACTCACATTTTACTGAATCTGTGGTACTAACAGTCATTGGATAGTTGCATTGTCCGTGTCACAAAAAAAATAAGCCTTAAAAAAATCATCTCAGCGGTCGCTAATAACAATTCATGCAAGTTAATTACTCATCAACGCTGATACTACTCCACATCACCATTGTCGTCACATCGGCGTTCAATCATCGATTCATCATCGACAGTCATCCTGAGTTATCGCCATTAATCACGCACTCTGAGGACCCGTGGTCGTCACAACCGTCACTATGGTTCCCGCGAGGCCTGGCTTACGAAACTTGCAAAGTTGAACATTTATACGAATAAACACATAACGCAAAAAAACTGACCAAGACTGCCATTAAACATAGAAGCTGGTGCCAGCCTATCCTATAGGAGGGTCCGATTCCTATGCTCCATTTATCTCATCTTAAATGTTCAAGGCACCGATGCGGGCCACGTTGCTGTAATCAATCTGAAAAAAACTAAAAGGTTTGGATAAAGTTCTCATTTTTTTCCTAACGTTCCAAAACCACTCCAAACTCTCAAGTGAAAAATTGATTTAGGAAGAGTTTATGAATATCAAAAACCCCGTAAGATTGGCATGGCGAAGTATTTTTTAGTAATGGATATATAGGCGAGAGGTTATACAGCAGCTCTTCATCATCAGCGTCCAAGACCCCAAATTCTGTCAGGTCAGAATTCATTCTCTACAATGAACACTACTCTATTAAGTGCTGTGACTGACGGATTGACTCAAAAGACTCACCACGTGCAGTTTTCTTAAAACGCAATTAAACAAAACACTTTGCCAGGTTTTAACAACTGCCCCTCGGCACCGTGGTCTGTGTGTGGGGGCATGGCTCACACTGCACCAAAGGAAAGAGGGGGAAGCGATGAGAGGGAGAGAGGTGGAGACGGAGAGCGAGGTACCTACCATCAGCACAGTCCACGTCACAGACTGCGTGGCACGGGACAGAAAAACAACAGCTTTAGCTACGAGACGCCACTACCAGAGGTGGACCAGAGAACTTCACGTGTCTCAGCCCTGCCAGGTCATGTGCTCAAGATGATGAATGCTCGGGGTGGAACGATTCTCTGCAGAGCGTTCCACAAAATTGTTACAATTCAGGGTTGCGATTCAATACGGAAACACATTTCATCGCTTCTTTTTATTTATAGAGCGAAGAATGTGGCTGCAGGGGGGGCAAACACGCGTTCCCACTGCGTACGAATTACACGAGTCAAAGAATCATTAATTCCTACGCACACCATTTGACAAGGGTGTTTGCGAGCCAAAGACTCGATAAAAGTCGATTATTCGATGCATTATTTCACCCCCCCCACCCCCCATGCCCCCCAGCGGTGCACGTCCGAACGCGCGAATTGCCTTGTCGTGTTAGAGTTGGCGTAATTTGTCTTTATTTGCTTTCACGAGCCAATTGGGGGACTTGTGACCTGGGAGGGCTGATCACCACAACAAAAACAAAGCAACACAGCAGAGGGAAGAAAGCACACGAACCCGACAAAACTTCACACACACACACGCACGCCGATTTTGAATGCGCTTAGCTTCGCCTGGGACCACTGAACACCAACTGGGCCCAGGAAAACACGATCTCGGTGCTGGCCATTGGAATGGTGTTTTTGTTCTACCTACGAAATAGACCAAATGTACCAGCGATAACACGCCGACCTTGTGGAAACAACTATTGCCCAGGAGGCCACAGGCCCGCGAAAAATATGTTCACGTAAAAATTGTTCAAAGCTGACAAATCTGTCCATCGTGATTTTAGGTCTTCGAGCAGAATGTCGGAAACCAACGCCCGGTTCACAAAAGCGCAGTCGTACAAAAATGGTGTCTCGTTTCTTGCATTCGACTTGTAGATTTAACTTTGAAATGACATTGAACGATATACATTTGCCTGTCCAGAGACTATCTGGTGACAAAGCTTGAGATACATCGTTATCTTTGACCATTCGAATTTAATAACCTAACGTTAATTTCAAATGGATCGGAGATTAAATATCTTGTTTGCATGCTGCAGTGGCAGTAATTCATAACATCGTTCAGCTGAACATGGGAGAGAGACTAAAATGGGACATTTGATCGTGGACTGAGATTTCCTGTTGGTTACGTAAAAACTACAACCCCCTTTCTTAAGACCTTCTGTTAATAGCCTCGCACAAACTTTTGTGCATTTCACTACCTCAAGCGTTTATTTGGCACCATCTAAAATGCCTGCCTAAGGCCCACATCCCTCCTCTCACGATGCACTCGTAATTAATATTCAGGAAAGTGCCGACTCTGCCTAATCTAAATTATTTCACGGTCAAGTGCTGCGATCGTGCACGCTTATCGGGAGAAAAGTCTGAAGATAAGTTATTAAAATTAGGCCAAGTACCATATTTACTGGTACAGAACGATGTAGGTCCACAGCTAGGCGCAGCCTCGCTCTCGACGTCATGACCCAAGTTCCACCCCTCCAGTAAACCTTCCACCACCAACTGCGAACAAGCCGGAGGTAAACTGGGATATGGATTGGTTGGCTGGTTCCAGAGAACAGCATGGAGACTACTAAGGCCAGATAACATTTGGGGACATCTGGATCTATTAGTGCTCTCCAAGAGCTACTTTCAGAACGCAGCTCGGTTTTCCAGTAAGAGCGGTAACAAAGTCAAGCTGCAATTTGCACGCAAGAGATACGCTTTATGATTGGCTGCTTTTTGTGACGCGATAAATTATTCGCACAGGCAGATTGCTTTTGTTGAGGCGCGCACACACACACACCCATTGTGCGGTGCCAATGGGACTCAAAATGTTTTTAATTTACACGCAGAGCTAGAGAACGGAGCTCTGCTCATGTAAACCTTTTACGCGTAATGCTACACCGCAATGCACAACTTTTTGCTATAAACGTTATCCCCAAAGTTAAAACAGGAAATCCAAGAGACTTGCTTGACTGCCGATGAGACCTACTAGGCCGAATTCGCTCGCCAAAAGTTTCTTAATAAACACGAATTATGCTTGATCATTTTCGTCTGGAAAGCCAAGTGGCGGATGGACAAGAGCTTATTGCTATTTGCTTCTGCAGATGAAACTCGATATAAATATAACGGCCTCTAAATTTCCAGCTTCCTGCAGATGTATTTGAAATAAATTCATTTTCTGTAGCCACGGATTCTGCACGTAGCTGCTGCTGCTGTGCTTTACGGGAGAACACATCTGGATGCAAATGAAGTTGAATGTTCTGAGGCCATCAGGGTAGAGGAGTATAGGGTTATCATGGAACAAACACATTTGCGTGTGCCACAGCCTGCATTATCGTAAAAGAATAATTATCAATTTGTACAAGCAAGCAATCAAGCTCAAAGGGCAGATAGAAGTGATCATGACTGCTTTGCGCCCTGCGTGCGTGTGAGCACTGTGAAATATATAACGAGCAGTATGCACAGGAATGCCATAGTACAAATAATTAGGCTCAAGTGCATAGGGCTTATTATTAAACAGTAGTCAAGTGAAGCATTGAAGTGACAAAATGCTTTGCAAAGTTTTAAGAAAGATAAATGATGTAGTTTGTATTTCTGATAAGCAGTCAAGCTGACAAATATATTGCAGAGCACATAGGAATTTTTTTTAATGATAATAATTGTATTATTTAGGTTCTTAATACATGATTTAATACTGGTTATTAAGTCTTTAAAACATTTCAATTCAATAGTAATTCCAGACACAATTAAGCAGTATTTATTAATATAAAAGTTTGCGCGAAAGATTAATTTGGGTTAAAACGTTAGTTATTTAGAACGTCACAATGCTTGTGTGAACATACAATAAAGGACATTCAAAAAGTTTTGAGAACCGACTGAAAGAGGTAATGCCCTCGTCGTTGACTTTTAAAGCTGAAACTAAAGTAGATCACATTTTCTACTTGGACATACAAAACGGAAAGGTTATTTACTTCCACTGCAGTGCTCTGTAACGTCTCAAGATCATACAGAAGCCACAACATCGACTAAGAAAGGTGTGGGTTGCCATGCAATACTAATATCCCAGTCTCAAAACATTTTGACCACCGCTCACATAGTGTGTGCGTACACATTTATGCTTATATAAAACGCGTTCTCTCCAAAAGTTAATCGTCACCGGCAACAGCTTTGCCAACAGACGGGAGAACTCTCAGTGTCATTACCCTGTGCAAGCACTGCACGGAAGATACACACGTTCAGCATAAGCTGCACACAACATGCACACGAGGGGAGGGGGTGAGGTTTGGTTAACGTGGCACGCGTTGGGCTGTGGGGGAGGAAAATGAGGCAGGATAATTAACAACAGATCGATCTACCGCCCGAATCTCCCCCCACCCGCCCCCCCCGTTCTCAACACCGTACCCCTACAGCAAATGTGCATCATTCACGTCAACCCAAAGGGGGACTTACATCCGTGGGGGGTCGCTTCCAACGAGTGGCTCGCAACCTCATGCTTTATTTTTTAAATTCTACAATCGTCGCTACAGCCCAGCATGTCACGTTAACGAAACGTGTCGGGGGGGGGGGGTGTGGGTGTGGCGCGCGCTTGTGCGAGGAGGAGGGTCAGATTTACAAGCTTGCGGGACCGCGTGCGTGTACACCGCCAGTCACCTGCTGCTACTGCTGCCGCTGCTTCACCCGCACGCGGATCCACAACCCTGCGCGCGAATATTGGCGGCGGGGAAGGAAACCCACGTGCGGCGATTCCACCGCGGTCACCCTAACGCCGGCTCGGTCGGCCGGTTGGTCGGCGCATTCACCTCTGAGGCAGTGGCGTTAAGTAGCTACATCATCGGCTCAGGGGGTGCGGCAATCGGTCACGTGGTGGGGGCGCCCCCCTCCCCAATATTTGATTCGTCTCGTGCGGTCGCACCGAGGCTATTGTAACATCGCGGCTCCTCGTGCCTAATGTCGCATTGGTTACATACATGTTGTGTTTCTTTTACGCTGTTGTTGAAAACAAATCTCACGGTGGGGTTGTCAAGGGGGGCCCCCCCTAACTCGTAGCTCTGGCCACCGGGGGGTGGGGGGCAAGGCACCCCCTGCACCCACGCTAGTTAAGCAACTGCTCCGAGGTCAATGTTCACCATGCACGTCAGTGCCAAAGAACGCGTTCACAGGACCTTCGTACGGCCGTGCATCCAAGCATGTGCTTTGTACCAAATCGGTGTTTTTTTGCGATTGTTCTACACGGCTCTCGAGGTGTTGTTTGGGTTGTCCCGAACAGCACCACCAAGAACGCGCGCGAGACAACGTGAACACACGTCTGGAGAGAGCGAGGGAGAGCGCGCGATGCCACGCACGTTGCAACGCACCGACAGTTACAGCGAGGTATTAACAGGAGATTAAGGCGCTGCGACGGTGCAATTGTGCTCCACCGCACTTAAGCACATGCGGCGAACCCGATGGACGGAGGCGTGCCGATGCGAGCGGAGCGCCTTCCCAAAGCTAACGCAGCGATGATTGGCGGTGCAGGAGACGAACGAGAGAACAAAAGGGGGGGGGGGGGAGGTGGAGAGAGAGGAAGGGGGGGGGGGCGAGTTCCCCTCCTCTCGTGCAGCCCATCAGCTCACACCACACACCGCCCCCGGGTCCACACAACCGAGGTTTTCCTGCCCCCTCGGGGTGGGGCGAGCGGCACCGCGTGGGGCGAAGCCGGCCATACACACCTGCACGGCCCGCACCAGTCCCCCTGCTGCTCTAGCCCGAAGTGAGCCCGACACCGCTTAGCTGCAGCCAGCTCTGAGCACGGCCAGGCAGGCGGAGGCAACGAGAGCACACGTCAGGGTGCGGGAGGGGGGGGGGGGGGGCCAGGACACACGCACTCACACGCGAGCACACCCGCAGGGGGTGGGGGTGGGTGTTGAGGGGGGGGGGGGTGTGGGATCTCGTGCCACGCGTGCAAGCAACGCGCACGGATGCGGACGCGAGTGCGGGTAAGGGGGGGGGGGGCATGCGGGCAGCGAATGACAGAAAAATCGATAAATTACAAAAAAAATTCCAACGCGAGACGCTATTGAGAGCCATTCCCCTCCTCGTTTTTTTAAGGAGGGAGGAGCGCAGCACCGGGGATTGTAACCAAGCGGAGAGGAGTTTGAGACGGGTGTGATAGTAGAGAATTAAAAATAAAAACTGAAACGGATAGGGCATTGACGACCAGCGCCGGGGGGGGGGGGGGGGGGGTGTATCTCCCTCTACCACGTCGACCGATTCCCACCGCAGCCATCCAAGCGCCTTCAGTCGTGCCTCCGATAAAAAAAAAGCTGCCTTGAGCAGCCGTCTCCCAAGTCGCGTGCCGTTTCGGGTTTGCAGCGCAGGTTCAGAGCGGCACGAGTTGGTTGGCGTGCCAACAGACAGCCACGTCTGGCACGTCCAAATAAAGCCCAGCGCCTCGCAGACGTGTGAGGGTGGGCATTTTACCCTGACCGGTACCCTCTGCATTCTCCTCGTAGATTACAAAGTGGAACCAGCAGACATTGGCCCGTGGAAAAGGCTGCATCCTGAGCAGAGTCGGCCTTCACCATAGTGCAGCTTTCGGTCCCGTAACACACAAGTGAAACAACGCAGGTGTGTTTTTTTATATTTGCAGTTTTGTTGTCAGGTTAAGCAGTCTCTATTTTCGAGTTGTGCCATTACAGAAGGTGCAATGCCAAAGCATTGTCCATGGAATACGGCGGAACTATAGCCGGAGGGAGCTATGTCACTGTCCAGTTATGTGAACCGAGTGGTAGGTTCTACTGACCCAGCAGGAAGGGGCAGAGACAAAAACCGACACTCTGAAGTTGAGTTTTTGTCCAGAAGGTATGAAGGCCCATAGTGTTAGCCACCTGGTCAAAACTAATCAGAAATGCGTTGCCAAAGGCACCTGGCAATGACCCAATCAATTGAGATGAAGAACAGGGCCAGGGTGAGCGTGAAGCATTGCTTGTCGCCCAACAATGTCCTGCAAGATCCATGTAGGTTCCTACCCATCCAGACAAACGATGCTGACAGATAGCAGGTCATGGCTGCGGTGAATTGAGAAAGGTGGAGTTTCCTACCTATATGGCTCTCAAAGCCTTCCACAGAAAGCCTCTCTGTCCAGAGGTGAACGCAGCCTTCGTGTCGATGTACGCGATGCACGGGGGGGGGGGGGGGGGTCTGGTGGACTTACGGTGGCGCCGAAAGAGAAGACGGTAAGCCAGGATTGTGTCCGTCGTGGTCGATCGCCACTTTTTGCAAACCCAGACCAACGCTGGTGTTTCTATTTGGCGTTTGAACACCTTAACACCTGTTTTATTGGCAGAAAGGGTAAAAAGAGGCCCCATGGATATAGCTGCTCACCCTGAGCTTCAAATGTTGGGATATGTGCATTGTCTTTGTACTGTTCACCGGTCGGACACTGGTGAGACTAGGCCATAAAGAGGGCTGTCTCTGGTGTAGGCCAATCAGTTTAAAAGACAACGCATTTATAATATCAGAGCACGTTTGTTTGCATGTTCACCACAAGTACCGTGTGGTTAATGCACACTGGATTCCTTGCAAAAGGTTTCTATTTGGTGTTTTGAACATCTTAACACAGCTGTTGTATTACCACAAGGGTAAAAACCTATTCTTATTTTTCATACTTAAGTGGCAAAAGAAGGCCCCATGATAGTCGCGCGAGATCGACGAGCGCAACTCACCTTTCCAGGTGCCAAGAGCGACGGAATGGGGCCTGATAGCCGACACAGGAGGACATCGATCCCTTTGCCCTTGTAAGGAGGCACATGGCGCCTTCTCTCCATTTCAGCTGGACTTCCGAGCAGACCTACCAGACCTTCAGGAAGAGCTCACAACGAAGGGCTAAGCCAGCCAGAAGTTCCGCTCATTTCAAGTAGCTCTGGGAAGATGTAGTCAGGACCGGCCGCGCCCCCATTCCTGAGCTTTCTATTGGTCCTGCTTGGACTTCTTCCAGGCTGGATGCGTCTTCAGATCGAACTCGAGTCTGGTCGAAAAGCAAGTTGCATCCAGGTCTGGGATAGGTGGATGCAGGCGGCCGATTCTGCATCTCCTGGTCGTGGTCACACCACACCAGCGGTCCATCATCTCATCGAGTGACTGGTGAAAGGGAGCAAATTTGGATTTGCGATTGGCACGATCCCACAACCACTTCTGTGTGCAGGACGACCCCACATTTGCTGAAAGGCGTGGGTGCATGGACAAAGACTTTGGCGCTTGACGCAATCAGCTTTCTTTGTCTGCAAGCCAACTGTGGAAAGCTAACCAAATCGACCTTTTACGTTGCTTTAATAATGCATTTTTGTCTGCACTTTCCATTCAGTGCGAACCGCAAACCGAGCAGATTTTTTTTGCTTGCCGAGCCCTGCCAGCGTATATCTGCTGAGAAACATTGTTTGTATGTACGCACATTGAACTTCTTTCGGCACCGTACGTAGCCAGTCGTGCTCATCAGAAGTGTGGGATCGTAAGTTCCTGGGGAGAGGTGATGGCGACTTGGGAAGGGCTTCATCCAGCAGTGGACTGATGATAGTTCTTAGCGCACTTCGGTACTTAGCCCATGGCCAAGTGCAATTCCTGCTCATGGGCCAACACCAGCAACTGATGAATATCTTCTTATTCTTTTTTTAACAGAGTTACTGAGCCGCAGGCCCAAAGGGCCAAAACGTCACGTGACTGTAACAAAGAGCAATAGTACCGGGGTCATAATAAGGGTCAACATGTTTCATGAACTGAGCAAGATCATAAGAGAGCATGGGAGGGAATTCCAGAGTGGAGCAGTGTGAAGGGAAAGAAAGGAGCGTTGTGACCTGCAATGTCGAGAGTGGTTAGGTGGGTGAGAGTGTGAACGGTGTAAATTGGTGGATGAGCGAGTTAATGAGTGGGTGAGTAAGAGGTCGAGCGAGAGTGTGAACAAAAAAAAAAGACGAGTGAATGAGTGGGCGAGCGAGAGCGCGTGTGATTAAGCGGTGAACTGTCAGATGTGAGAGGCAAGGACTCTCTCTCTGAAGACATGGGTCCCACCCCACTGTTGGATGAGATCTGGGGGGAGGTTGTGGATTACAAAAGAGAAGTGACCCCGGGGACAAGACGAAGCAAAACTGAAAACACCACGCGTGGGAAAGCTGCACGTAAAATGCATCTCGCATCAAACCGAGTGGAATTTCCAGGAGTGTGCGGAGTGCATTGTCATAGAATTTTTCGTGGACACCTCAACAAGTGAAGATTAGATTACACACGCGCGCGCGCGCACACACACACACGGAGTGAACACGCCAGTGTGTGCAGACTCAAGCGTGTGCAGAGTGTGCGGAGGTGTCGAGTTCTCTTGGTGTAAAGTACAACGTACAAGATTGTCTCCTGTTACTGCTGGTTGCTGCTCTATTGAGTGCTCTTACGTGTGGCGTGTTAGCGTGGTAATGTACGGCAGAGTGTTGTCGCATTGGCAATCTATGCAGCGTATAATAAGTGCAGTGCGCGCGAGTGCTGTGTGCGTCTACGCTGGGTGTGCAGTGCGCGCGAGTGCTGTGTGCGTCTACGCTGGGTGTGCACAGGACCACGTGCGTGGCATGTGCAGGGTGCTGGTGGTGCCGCTGCGCGGTGCTGGTTGTGTTACCCATGCTGTGTGCCACGTGCTGTGCGCTGCACAGGGCGACTGTGGAGGGCTGACCTGACACTTCCACCTGTTGCTTCTCCCGCCTTCTCTTCTTCCTCTTTCCCTGCCGGGTGGCAGAAACATTGCCAGAACCATCACAAATACATGGCAAACGCCACGAGCCTCCCGGTGGCACAAGAGGGTACACGCGCGCTCAACTCCCCGTGCTTTCTTGCACGTGACGTTGAGGCTGCCACAGCTGGGTGTGCGGCTCACAAAATAGGGTCACATCCAGTCACGGACACCCCCCCCCCACCCCCCCACCTGATTTATAATGGACTCTCCCTTGATTCTGCTCAACAGATGATCGAATATTGCGTAATTGAAGGCTCTGTATCTCATGGTAGAAAGTTATTCTTTTTTTAAAGAAATGCGATTGGTGGGATACGTGTAGAGGTTTTTCTCTATAAACTATCCCTATCACTTGTGGGTTATCTATAAATGGATCATTGTGTGTGTGTGTGTATATACCATTGAATCCGCTTCAATAGAAGCATTATGAACTATTTCCGATGTGTGCTAGTGTCCCCAAAACCATGTGCTCCTCCTCCTTTCCTCTGCAGCGTGTACTACTTCCAATCAGAAGCAACTCTTCCGGCTCAACTCTGATTGAATCTCGACGTGCACAGTTGGCTACAAGAGAACAGTGACGGTTGGCGCTTGTGAGCAGCACCGGCCACGACAGTCGGCATCACCGAGCGTGACGGATCTTCCGCTTGTTCGATTCCCGCTCACGGCCACCCCTAGGTAAACTCGGCCTCAATTGAGTACACCGTGCGATGCGCAAAAGCATCGCCACTAGGGAGACAAAGGCGGCCCGGGCACGGTGCTGGCCACCCAAACCCCCTCGTGTGCCGTACCAGCATTCAGAGGTGCTCGCGAACAGCACTTGCCTCAACAAGCCTGTTAAGGCTGAACGGGGGATCTTTGTCTTTGTCTTTGTTGCGTGTGCACTTCACGGGACGTCTTGGTGGCTCTACCGGTGCGACGACTGACTCTGGTGCGTGCGTAACCGCGCCTGCATGCGTGAGACTTACATAGTTGTCGCGTGCGGACCAGCCTGGGTACAGCTGCATGTGCAGCTGCCTCTCCTTACGAGCCAGCTCGTAGTACTTGGCCTGCTCCTCCCGGGACAGCGCGTGCCACTGCGGCCATCGACAAAGAAGCGACGTTAGATTTGCAGCGGCGTGAAGTCGGTCGCGCTCAGTACCACACGGAGCCCTCTGGTCCCGTGGCGGAGTGTACAGCGGTGGTGGTGGAGTGTACAGCGGTGGTGGTGGAGTGTACAGCGGTGGTGGTGGAGTGTACAGCGGTGGTGGCGGAGTGTACAGTGGTGGTGGAGTGTACAGCGGTGGTGGAGTGTACAGCGGTGGTGGTGGAGTGTACAGCGGTGGTGGTGGAGTGTACAGCGGTGGTGGTGGTGGAGTGTACAGCGGTGGTGGTGGAGTGTACAGCGGTGGTGGTGGTGGAGTGTACAGCGGTGGTGGTGGTGGAGTGTACAGCGGTGGTGGTGGTGGAGTGTACAGCGGTGGTGGCGGAGTGTACAGTGGTGGTGGTGGTGGAGTGTACAGCGGTGGTGGTGGTGGAGTGTACAGCGGTGGTGGTGGTGGAGTGTACAGCGGTGGTGGCGGAGTGTACAGTGGTGGTGGTGGTGGAGTGTACAGCGGTGGTGGTGGAGTGTACAGTGGTGGTGGAGTGTACAGTGGTGGTGGTGGAGTGTACAGCGGTGGTGGTGGAGTGTACAGCGGTGGTGGTGGTGGAGTGTACAGCGGTAGTGGCGGAGTGTACAGCGGTAGTGGCGGAGTGTACAGCGGTGGTGGTGGTGGAGTGTACAGCGGTGGTGGTGGAGTGTACAGCGGTGGTGGTGGTGGAGTGTACAGCGGTGGTGGTGGTGGAGTGTACAGCGGTGGTGGTGGTGGAGTGTACAGCGGTGGTGGCGGAGTGTACAGCGGTGGTGGCGGAGTGTACAGCGGTGGTGGTGGAGTGTACAGCGGTGGTGGTGGTGGAGTGTACAGCGGTGGTGGTGGTGGAGTGTACAGCGGTGGTGGTGGAGTGTACAGCGGTGGTGGTGGAGTGTACAGCGGTGGTGGTGGAGTGTACAGCGGTGGTGGTGGAGTGTACAGCGGTGGTGGTGGAGTGTACAGCGGTGGTAGTGGAGTGTACAGCGGTGGTGGTGGAGTGTACAGCGGTGGTGGTGGAGTGTACAGCGGTGGTGGTGGAGTGTACAGTGGTGGTCTGCAGAAACGCTTTAGCTGCCGGATTTTCGTTGAGCACTTGCCACCAGCACTCAGTTATTGTCGTTATATTTCCCACAAGTCCACAGCCGGGACATAATGCGTTTTTAAGAAGTTTATGCTATTTACACACTAAACTTTCCTTCATTATCACGCCGCCACTAGGAAATCTCATGACGTGTCGGGGCACGGCAGAGCCTGCATATCTACAGTCACGGGAACCGAATTCAGTTCGTGAATTCGCTCCCATGTGCCGGGGGAGCTTCTAACACCCACAAGAACTGAACTCAGCTCCTGAAGAGGCTCCCCCAGAACATGGGAGCGAAACGTCGGACAACCACGGCGAACAACAAACGCATCGTGGAGAGATCGCCGCCGGCGTCGCCGTAACGGTTGCTACTGTTGCGGCGGTAGTTGTTTGGGTTGCGGGGTGCAGCACGTGCGGGATCGTCGGGCCGTACCCGCCGGCCCAGGATCTGGTTGATGGCGGCGCTCTCCTTGAGCGTGCACTCGGCCACCACCTTGGCGCGCATCTCCTTCATGTAGAGCATGAACGCGTTCAGCGGCTTCTTGATGTGCGGCTTCTTGTCAGCGTCGCGCTTCTCCTCCGCCGCCTTCCTGCTTCCCCCCCGCCCGGCAATGGCGTCGTGAGCGGTAGGACAACGAGGGGGGGGGGGAAGGGAAGGGGAGGGGGGGGGGGGCGCGTTTACCCCACACAGCAAAAGAGCGGCAAGCGCGCCGGCACTTGTTCTCGAAGCGCACCGCGTCACTTCCACAGGGCTGCACCCTTTGGCTGTGCGGAGTTTTGGGAGTAGGGGTGCGATGAAAATGATGATGATGATGATGATCATCATCATGCCGCTACTACGTGTAATCCCAACGGAGCAATTTTCCGGTTAGGCTTCACGGCGTTGGGACAGTTTGGCCAATAACATTCATATTGTATGGCGGAGGGGGGGGGGGGGCAATGGGAGTAAACCAGGGAACCCCATAGAGAACCCACGCAGGACGCGTGGAAGGCACACAAACTCCACGCAGGAAGGCGGTAATTGAACACAGCCCCTCCCCCCCCACCCCCCTTCTTGATCTGAGGTACAAATAATACATCGCCTATATTTTACCGAATCACTGGAAGGAGGTGGCAGTGGTGGTGGGGGGGGGGATGGCTAATAAATTCACGCCTCATAATTACATAATTTAAAAAAAATCAAGATCCCCTGTGCAGCTTTATTCACCACCCGGGGCAAGTGCTGGCAGCGAGAACCACCGATTAAGGTTGGCATGCAGTGACCATCACGACTTCCTTGCGAGAACCCGGATGTTGCACCACAGGCACACGGACATAGTTCATACAAACGATGAACACAACGTTGTGTCGATCAAAATAGATTATTATTGCGCTCGCCAGCATGAATATGAGGAGCGATGCGTCTCAATTTCTATCCATGGGCACAGGCAGCTGGGTCACAAGAACTCCGTGCAGTCACGCCAGGTGTGACATTCACCACAATGGCAAAGTGATTTTTTCTATCCAATTGTAACATTAATTGAATGTTGAGGGAGAGTGACTCATGACTCCTGACACGTGTGCGTGCGTGTGCGTGATTTACACTGGGAGCAGCGGTGGCGCAGTGGTTCGGGTATTGCAACATGAAACCGGCAAGCAGGGTTGAATTCCCGGCCATGGCTAACATTAGGTGGGCCAGTGATTATCCGAACCAGTAACATCGTCCGCCCTTCACCAACTCACAATGACAAGCGTGGCGAAGTATGGCCAATTAACTCGCTTGACCAATGTGGTGTGGGGGGGGGGAGGGGGGGCTAACCACTGCACCGCCGTTCCACCCCTGACACGTTGTCCCGCCCACACACAAACGAACCAGTTTTGTGGATGTTGGCTGGGTTGAGGGACCCTCCACGGGACTACGTACATGCTGTTGCTGTGCGACGACTCCGGCTTGAGGCTAGGGGCGACTATGGCTGGGTGTGGGATCCCGGTTGTGTGCAGCCCATGGTGGGACGGGACCAGGTGCGACGGAAACCTGCGGCAGCGGCGAGAATCGACACCGGGCGAGAGAGTTCACCGTGGCGGCAACAAACAAAAAAACTGTACGAGCGAGATGCGGGAGGGAGGCCCGTGCGGAACCGCGATTGCCGATGAGCGCCGGCGCACGGCCGCCGTGTCACGCGTGACGAGACTGCGAGCCAGGGCTCGTGGTTTGAACCGAGCTGGCCCCACGCGGGCGCACGTTACCACGGCGGGGCGGTAATTCGTGCGCGGCACGAGTTACCGCCCCGCCGTACAGACGTGTGCGTGTGTGTGTACGTCATCGTTTTTTTTCCCCGATTCCGTTCCGTGCGGGTGGGCGCGTGGCACAGTTTGGCACCGGCTATCGTAGAGCGCGCCATCGTGTCGCCACGCTTCTCTGCGGTGAGTGCGACGTCGTTCAAATTTAAAAAAAAAGAGACGCTATGCCTCCCCAAACGCCGAGCCCGCTTGCGGATTCCGAGAGTCGGCGGCGAACGGGACCCACACACCCTGCAACTTGCAGACGTCTCGGAACGGGAAAGGGTTAAGAGAGCGGTGCCGACTTTGGCAGGAGCCATCGATGGGATCGAGGCGCGTGCGTGCCGCGACGCCGTTGGACCCTCGCCGTGCGCGCCGGTGCGGGAAGTACACGGGGGGGGGGGGGGGGGGGAAGGTACGGTGCATTTGTTTTTGTAATTAAATTAAAAGCGTCTGCTCTAACTAATTACTATCTTAGACGTCGTTTGTGGCCGCGGCCAGGAAGGGCAGGGAAGGGATCGGTGGGGGATGGGGGGTATGACGGGTCGCGCAGCGTGGGGACCTGGTGGCTGGGTCCCGGTGCCGATTCTGGGTCACAACCGGGCTGTCAGAGCACGGCTTCCAGTGGACTTGAAAACAAAGCGATAGCTCTGGGTCTCTCACAGTCGCCCTTGCATCAACCGTGCCACGCGGTCCGTCTTTACTTCCAATTTCCCAGTCGTATTTAAGCAGCGACGCTTGCGGCCGTGCAGCAGAAATGTATAATGAGGCACTTCATTGGCTTCTCGTGCGCATTTATCCGCGTTTCAGGAGGCAGAATCACTTTTAATACAAAGGTAATGATGTGGTTAATTGTCTGAATGAGGTATATTACCAAAACTCCCCTATGGATGCAGCACATTAAATCGCAAAGCCTAGTTAGTGCCAAGGAGAAAAAAAATTAAAAAAACGTTAAGTAGCTTTAAACATATTCATTCATATACAGTAAAACAACTGTTTTCGTGTGTGCGTGTAACCAGCACAGTTACGTGCGTGCTCACGCACGTACTGTGCAACATCCTCGTGTGCGTATTGGGCAGCAGAGGCCCGCGTGTGTCCGGGCGAGTGTTTACACGTGCGGGGAGCGGTTCATGCTGTGCTTTGCAATCGCATATCCGTGGGTTCAATTCTGGGTCACGTGCCACACACTGATGAAATACTCACCGCACGCTACGCCTGCCTTCAAGTGGATTTCGGATTAGCGCGGTTGGCTACGTACGACGCGAAAGAAGCTCGATGGACGTGCACACAAAGTCCGCTCTCACCAAGAGCTCTAAAGCCGACGGACTAAGCGGGGGGGTGGGCAATGAAATCCAGGCCTCCCTGGCTGAGCCCAACCCCAGCAGCAGTGCCCCAAGAAGGCTGGAGTTGGGGACATACAGGGGGTCGCCCCGCACGCCCGCTCAGTGCGACATACTTCCACCAACGGTGTTTAATTGCATTTAATTAAATCGCCCGATGAATCAACGAGGCGTGGCGAAGCCCAACTGTGACGGGAAGCCCCCCTGCTGCCTAACGAAAACAAACACGCAGTGTGGGGCCACTAATTGCATTGCAATTAACTTTTAATGAGCCCGCAGGGTGTGGAGAACTGAAGCTGGGACCGCACGCGTGCGTCTGCACGACGTGCCCGACAGCGCGCACGCGGTGCTGCGTTTTGTCGGACAAGATGAATCATTAAACGAGACTCGGGTCCAAGGAAATCCACTTTCTTGTTTTCTGAATCAGTTGTGAGGTGCTTCGGGGCTCTTGAACCGAAAAGGAGAGTTTTGTGATTGCTGCATAATTTTTAATATCATTTCTTTTTTTTTGAGTGGAACTGTCGTGGGATGATAAATATATATATAAAAAATTGTACTCTTGAGAGTCCCGCCCTTGCATCTCTTATTGAAATGCATGGTCTAAACGCAAGTTAGTGTACAGCAACAAACGGTGAGTAAAATAATAATATACAAAAAGTTCTGACAATGCCACATCTCGGTAATGTTTGACCATCTGAAAACACTGCCATTGTGATTATTATGACGATCAACAACCAATTCTAGATTTAAAGCTTTCGTGACTGCTAGGATCCATACTCTTTGGTTCCATTGGGTAAAGTCACGTAGGTAAAAAATAAAATAACAAAAATCACGCCGTTTCGGCCACAACACAAGCGGCCTTCATCAGGTGAAGGGACGAGACTGTCTGGAGGACAGCGCTGGAGTGAAACAACCACTCGCAGCATACAACTGTGCCATGTTCCGCTCCATCTCAATATATTTTTTTAAACCATTACATCATTATGGTTTGAATTAAGTCGTAAGAGTGAACTTTATTATAGTTAATGTTTGTTTTTGCTTTCTCGTATTGACTAAACATTTCTAACATTAAGGCTGGCCAAAACGGGCGAAATTATTATCGCTCTGCGAGAGCTTAAAGTCAGAGCACGCGTCTCTCTCTCTCTGCTGGCTCAAGATAAGGTCCCGTGAGGTTTTCAGTCCCCCCAAACGACTGTTTCTGCATCTATTATTTCTCTATGAAATGTGACAGTTCTTCAAAAAAGTAACGACATTTCAACGGCCTGTGTCCTGTTTATAAAAACAATGCCTTCTTGCGCAAAGGGATCGTTTAAACAAGAAAAAAACGGAAAATAATTACAAAAATGTCACGTGTTTTAAAGTCGGGGGCAGCTGATCTATTTTCAATTTTAAGTCAGCAGAGAGATAAACAGAGCAATTTTAACCAGATCTCCGTGTTCCCAATAAGTTGCAAACAGCTTTAGAGTATTTTCAGCATAAGCAGTTCTTAAACTCCAGATCTCAGACTCTATTCAAATAGAGTTGTCACCAATCCTCGTTTTCTCATATTCCCAGGATCATCCGCTTTTTGATGCAGCTGTCCTGGAAAATATGCGAGTCTTCACAGAACATTAAACATCGACAGTCCCGGTTCATGTCGGTTACACGTAGTTTCTCCCCTCTTCCGGTACCACGAGATATTCTTGTTTGCATGATAAGTTCCTTTTTTTTGTGTGCACCTCAGGAGGGGACAACCGTAACCGCAAGGGCCCAGGGTTTACAGTCTTGCCAGGATTTACCATTCATACATTAAACCGTTCTAACGCAAGCAGTCTACATCTGCCCAACAGATGAAATGTAAAACACTGAGCTTGATGCCCGAGCCCATTTTTAAAACTATTTTTTGTCTAACTGCTCAATGCGTTTAGTTTGTCCCCCCCCCCACCCCTTCCGATTAGCGCAGTTAGCTACGTACGGTTGTGAAAGAAGGTCAACATACGTACACATACATTAAATGTGCCGATGTGTAGGAGAGAGTGCGGCGGAGGAGAGCTGTGGTGCCGGCAGAGGGGAAAGGGACAGGAGGGAGTGCAGCGAGCAAGGGGATGAAGTCTGTGAACGTACCGGGACACGGGGGTGGAGACGGTGAGGGCTGTGGGGTACGGTGGCCGGAAGCCGGCAGTGCTGAGTGGGTAGAGGGGTTGCCCCTGCCTGTAAGGCAACAAGCGCAGGCATCGTCACCCACACGCAGGTGCAGCGTGCACACTTACAAGACAAGACGAAGATCCCCATCCGCATAATCTTAAGGCTTGCGGGACAAGTGGCGTCAGAGCGAGCGCCTGTGACGGCCGGCATGGCACACGAGGGGGTGGGGGTGGCCAGCACCACGCCCGGCTGCCTTTGTCTCCCTTGTGGCGTTGTTTACACACCGCGCCAGCTAAAGTAAGACTTTGCCCAGAGCGGTGGCCAGGTCGACGTCTGTCGTTAGAGACGCGCGTGCATGTGTGAGATGCGCAAGGGTGGGTGGGGGGGGGGGGGTGGCGATGCATTCCTTGCAGCAGGCGCTCCAAGCCAGGCATGCTATGCTACTGGCAGGAAAGGAGGTTGTGGGCACGGACTGCAGCTGGGGGTAGTGCTTTGCTTCGCGACGCACGAGGGACGGCATCGGCAAAAGGCTTTTCGAGGGATGCTCGGGTCACGGGGAGGAGGGGCAGTGAGAGGGGGTTTTGTTTCGCGAACCAGATTAAGTGACTGTTTTTTTTCTCCCGTTTTATATTTCTCACCAACCGGCATTAATTTTACTCCGGACATAAAGCCTTTGGCGAGTAAAAATCAAGCACTTTCTCAAGTATCTCACTGAATATCTGCAGATTTTAAATGTCTTTGTTTCATCCAGCGGACCTTTGCCTTCCTGGGGCATCGTTCCAGGTCCCCCCTGACTCGCCAAGCTCTGCAACGCGGGTTCCAAGGTTGTCATTTGCAGATGCTAACGTTGCCGTTTTTTCACCCCAGAATAAATATCTTAAATGCACGTATGAATAAATTATCAAACAAACATGGAACTAAATGCCATGTCCTCGTAAACCCGAGAAGAAAGATATTTTCATCAGCGCGCTCGTCAAATATTAATGACGCTAGGCAGCCTTGCACTTAGACCATCAAAGAGAAGCGAGCGGGATTGTGCTGTGATAAATTGAGCATTACCGGATAATTACTTGTGTAAAGGGCTGTAATTGCGACAGGGATTATAAGCCTTGACGTGCCGCGTGTGTGCGGAGTGTTAATGCGGGGGCCACCGTGACGGACGGAGGGCTTCTTCCGCTCGCACAACCTCCAACGGCCGCGTCACTGGCTCGCTCTCTGCTCTGCGCCCATCCCACGTGCTCGCTCATTTTATTGCTCCTCATTCCGCCACCTTTATTATCTCGGAGGGCATCGGTCTTTAAGAGGCCCCCTCTTATTAATCTGCATTAGCGCCGCTCGCGATTATGCATCGCGTCCTGCCAAGCACTGAACCGTACCCACCCATCACCTTTCTCTGCCTGCGTGGGGAGGGGGTGAGGAATTTGCTTGCAAGGGGTGGGGAGAGATTGTGTGGAGTCGCTGGATACAGCCACTTACATTTTCCTACTCCTTTGAGTGTGTAGTGTTCTTTACACGGCAATAGTTATTAGCAATTTCCAACATAAGTGATGACAGATTTTAAGAATTGGACCGTCATAAGTTGTTCTCATTGAAGCCACTCAAAACATTTGTCCATGTGTGTGCATATATTCGTGCAGATAACACCTGACACGTGGATCAGAAAACAAAACAAACGAAAATTACGGAGATCATTTTGATTGATGAGAAGAAAAGTGATATCAGAATTATCCTGGGCCTCCCGTTAGGGCGACTCAGCCTTCGAATATTACCTGGTGCGGTGCGTCATCAACATCGGCAATTGACAGACGACGACGACTGAGGGTATGGCGCTGTCCACACCACCCCCTCACGCGTCATTTCCCTAACAGCACTCGCTCCCACACAGTGTTCTTGGCTATACAGGGAGATTGACCTTTGCACGTTGTGCATATCTCCTCCATTTTATGCGCGCTCGTGCAAGACGCACCAGTGCTTGGCAGTTACATAAACGCACGCGCGTCTGATGCGTGTAGTTCGGCACACCTGTGTGCAGGTACGTGTGCAGGTGCGTGTGCAGGCGCGTGTGCAGGAGTGTGTGCGTTCACGTGTGGTGGGGCAGGGGGGGGGGGGTGCTACCCACCAGCACAGCGGGTGCGGTATTTGCCCCGGGAGGGAGTAATACGAAGCGAGGTCGGGGCCATGCGGAGGGCGAGGGATCCCTGCGAGCGGCAGCAACGACGAGGACGACCGACGGAGCGGCACACAGGGCAGAATCCGTTAAGATGGGCAAACATAACTTGAACCCCTTGACAGCTTTACTCTCACGCTCGCCCTTGTCCCGCATCTGTGCCTTGTAAAAGAGACTTTGTAAGTAACAACCTCCTTCTCTTCCGCGAGCAGGTCCGAGCCACGCCAGCGCACGTGGCCCTCACGGTAACGGTGTGGAGTTTCCACTCGGTCAACAATTTTCGTATTGCGCGTTGACGTTACAATGATGCACGTGTTGTCTGGCTCGAGACTCTGCGGGGGATAAATAATCTGGCGCCCTCTTGAGCCGCTGGCCCGGCACAGTCCCGGCCCGGCACAGTCCCGGCACGGCATGGTTGCAAAGTGGACCAGAGGAAGTGCACTCAGTGGCCCTCTCACGTGGTTGGAATAAAACGTTCTGACTCGGTGACGTCTGAAGCTCTGGTTTAAAGATACCTCGATACCCATTTCATATAAAATAACAGCAAAGCAACTTTTCACAGCTCTACCGGCAATGCAATATTCCTTGGTTGGCGAGTTTCGTCAAGACTGTTGGGGAAAATACTCAAGGTGAACGGGACGGCGACTTCAAGCCATTCTCCATCACACCGCTTCAGAACATCCAAATTATTCTCAAGAAGTCCTGAGGGGCTTGCGTACAATCAATTCCTTTTAGGCATTTCAATTTGCGTCAAACATTATTCGTATTCAGGGAACATACCTCCTCCTATCATAGCATTGCTTAGAATAAATTTCCCTCAAGTTACCGGGAAGAAAATTTAAATTACACGCGCACCGAGAAACGTTGGTGGTTTGTCGCAGCAACATGGAGGGAGAGGAAAGAAAAAAACTGACACTGCAAGCGGAATCTTGAGGAACACGGTAAACATGCTGAAATTTACTAGGCAAAGCAGTGACGACTGATAAGTTAATAAAACAATTTAGTGACGCCCGAGATTCCTAAACAAAAAAAAATGTACGACGAAACCATTCACAAGCGCCAGCAGAAACTCCTATCGACCCTTCAACTGAAAGGAAAAAAAAAACGTATCTCACGGGAGTTACTCATCAAGCATTCAGCCCTCGCTTACGACTGATCAACCCAGTCACCAGCAAAGTCTCTTTAATTAGTTCCAGGTCAGCGTGCCGATCGGACTTATTTCTCTTGAAAGGTAGGCTTCGAGTATGATAATCCACTTTGTTGAGCTGCCATTTGTGGGCAGGTCGCTTCTCAAAAAGAGCTACAAAGCTCAGTGGGGGGCCCTTTCCCTGGTCAAATAAAAAGAGTACAGAGATCATGGAAAATTACTGGGACAGGTAGGCCACGGGTAGAGGTGAGGGGAGGGGGGGGGGGGGGTGTTGGTGGGGCCAGGGGCGGTCGTCACCGGCCACCCCCCGGCTCGTCTCACCGATCTTGGGGTCGAGGTCTGCGAGGTGCGGCGAGGGAGTGCCCGGAGCGAAGTGCTCGTTGCTGTAGGCGAGCAGCGGCGTGAGCGGGTGCACGTGGTGGGGCGACTGCACCACCGGCACTTTGTTGGGCTGCAGAGGCAAAACACGCGCACGCAAGACGCACGTCGCACACACGAGGGTTCGCTCGCTGCAAACGTCGAGTCGAAGGTCAAAAAGTCGCCAGCCGCAACGTTTTTTTGTCAAGCCACTGCTGGATGAGAGGCCCTCATCATGCTGTGCAGGTCGTGTGGGGTTATTTGACCGTACTTCACCGCGATGGTCAGTTCAAGTTGGCAAAGGCAGGGAGAAAAGACGTGGGTGTGTAGAAGTACAACAGTGGATTTTGCTGCGCTGAACAAACACAAATGACCGAGATCATATTGATTGCCGCCAACTCTCCGCTGCTCACAAGGTAGCACAGCGCGCATAGTCGCCGATAACACCTCTGAGTGCGCAGTGGTCACCCATCCAAGAACTATCCAGGCTCAACTCGACTTAAGATTCTCAGATCTGACGACATCAGGCACATACAATTCAACATACTTGTTTACAGAAGCGACCTGGCCACGAATGACAGCTCAACGAAGTGGCTTATCACGTGGAAATTTATAGCACGAAAAAAAAGCAACTCTAAACGCGCGATCTTGATTCTAAATGTGGAGGGAAAAACCGGAGGACCTGGAGTAAAATCCACACGACTACGGTGCGAGACACATGCAAACTCCAAATATACAGCAGGCGTCAGGGTTGGGATCGAACCCACGACCTCCTGTATACCAATGTGAGGTAGTTAACATTATCCTAGTTACCTGGTTAACAGGGAACCTGGTATGGCGAGGCAGCCGTCGGAGAGGCTTCTTGAATACGGGGCATGCCGATGGCGACTACCAACAGTAAACGGCCGCTTTGCGAAAGAGGCCGCGCTTTGGAAACGGTGCGACATGAGCAGCAGCCACCTCTCCACCACCGATGAACGTTTTGTAATCTCAGCACAACTTGCTGCACTGCTCAAGCAAGTGTTCTTTTTAATCATCACCCTCCTGATTTACTCTGAAATCAGTATTGAATTGTTTAAAATCATTACGATTTAACGAAATGTATAACATTGGGATTTGTGCCTTTAACTCCCCCCACAGAAAAATAAGGCGATTGAAATATCTCCCAAGTAATTCTCTTGCAGCACTGTATTCCAGTTATAATGCAAACCAACGTGTTACTTTTGGCTCTGGGTAGTCTACTACTATTAATTCCTGAAGGACACCAGAAGATACCTTGGGGGTGGAGGGGGGGGTAACAGCAATGACTTCTCCATTACAGCAACGAGAATTGATTTAAAGGAGTAGAAGCAGTGCCTCATCCTAACAATGCAGAGGAACCCGAGGCAAGTGAACGGGTGACACACAAAGGAACTCTTCAGCCAATGTTTGCTCGGCCGCTCATTCAAGCTCAAACTTCTAAACATCAAAACAACCCACACGCGCGCCGCCGAGCCAACAGCTGCCACGGCACTTAGCAACTGCAAAACATTCCCTCGGCAACGATTATTGCGAATGTGCCCGATCACGGCAGACCTTGGAAATTCAAGAAGCTTTGGAGCCTCGTTATGGTGCTTGGAAGGGAGAGACCACTCGGGAACACCACATTTTTAGGTTTACGTTGCGAGGTGGCTCAAAGATGGAACTCCAATACACTGACGGGTCCCTGAATCTATCTTTGTGGAGTTTTTAGTGTTACTCCCCCACCCACATGTGGTTTCTCCCACATGCCATTCATGAATCAAACTGGCCAAATATCCCAATGCAGAAACCCCCCCTCCTGAAAGAGAGCCTGACATAATGGAGCTTTCCTGAGTAAAGGGCCTAATGTCAACATGCTGTTAAAGTTGATTCATGCCGGTAATGACTGCTCGGGGTGTTCAGTGAACTCTGAACAATGCTGCTTGTCGAATCCACGTGTCCCAGTGCTCGCCCGTGTTAAAAGCCAAAGCCGTTCCCCCTTTATTCACGCCATAGCCGGGGCGCACTGCATGGGGAGGAATAGCCAAGAGAGTGACACACACATTCACTCACTCGCTTGAGAACACACACACACGCGCACTAGCTTGAGAACACACACACACGCGCGTGCGCGCGCACTCGCTTGAGAACGAGCCAGCACGAGTCGTCGTCACGTAATTATACACCTTTTAAGGAAGCAAACCTGACTTGAGGCGACAAAGCGGACTGAAGCTTGCGAGCCGTATTTATCCACACGCCAGGGCCACGCCTGTCACAGCGGCAGATAAGGTGTCACAAGTGAGCCTTGTGCACATGTCGGTTCATGCTGTCAGAGCCACACGTTTATGGAAGTCGCGCAAGAGAAAGAATCCAGCCAGATGGACAAAAAATAGATAATCTAATACCATTAGAGTGGGCAAAAGCAATAAGTAACAATTTAGTCCTATGTCAATCAACTGGAGGATGAAGGCCTACTCCTACCATTGTGAGTCAAGTGGTTGTTTGACAATACTTCGCCAAGCTGGACAGTGCCGGTTAGTCAAGGGGAGGGAGGCCCAGAACCAGTTCAAAGATGGCCATGTCCGCGAATCGCACGCGAAAAGACATGCCGCTTTAACAGCTCAAGTCACTCTTGCTTTCAAAGCACATTCTCCCAGTGTAAACCTCCTTGTCTCTTCCTTCCGAGAACCAAGTCTCTGCGCTCTCTCTCTCTCTGCCTCCCAACACCTCTGCTCAAATGGGCGGAAACTCCATCCTTTATCTCTCAGCCAACATTGCAAACTCTCTTGGTCCTGTTTGAACCTAGGCTCACCTCATTCCGAAAGCTCAAGGTTAACTTTTCATCTAATCTCCATTCACCCAGTTTATTACTCAGCATCTGAGAACAAATCATCATAAATGTGCCCGATGTATATATGTATGTATGTAGAACTTCTTTCGCACCGTACGTAGCCAACCGTGCTAATCGGTGGTGCGGGAACATGAGATCCCATCAGGTTTCAAGAAAGCCGCACAGGGTCGAGCCCAGCTAGTACTTGATTCGTTGCCCAACAGGGCTTGTCAGGTGTTGTAGGTGTAGAAGCTATGGAAGTGGCCGGGAGCAATGCAGTGCTGAGTGTGACCCCCCCCATATCAGATGTGCGGCGGGTTCTCTCTGGGTTCTCCAGTTTCCTTCTACATGCCAAACTCATCGACGAGATTGGTCAAGCATCCCATTTGCAGGACCCTCTTGAAAGAGCCATGGGACTGAGAGAGAGACTTTTTCCGGGTAAACATTGGGCACGACTTAGAATACCAATGCGTACGTTTTAATATCTGGTTCATTCATCGCCCTCACCTCCGTGTAAAACGACACGGTCAGAACTGTAAAATATTTACAGGAGCCTTTTTGATGTAATATTCTTCCGGATAATGCAGTGGCGTATCCGTCTCACAGCTTGACCGGGTGTAACAATGCATCCGAATCGTGCAAATGACTAAAATTGCCTTCCATTGCATTACCCTGCGAGATCTCAGCCTATTACGGTAAATCCTGCCCTTCCCCCTCCCCCCTCCCCCACACCGCTTCAGATTCTAGCGACGGTCAGACATGAAAATGACTGCACGAAAAACAGACAAACAAGCGTTCAAAAATAAAATCAGCCGTCGATTCTTGTCCAGAACATCTCGTAAAAGCAAGTACGGGAACTAGATTTGATTTTTTACGTGGTGGGGAGTAAAGTAAATTGAATGAGAAGATTAATAAAAAAAACACATTTTTAATGCTCTGTACACAATGCTCTTTTTGAATGCATGCCACACGTACATGAAAGTGCATTAACGTAGCATAAAGAAAAAAAATACGTGCTTAATTAGTCTGGCCACCTTAATAAGGCACAACAACAACAAAAAACCTGCACTTGCACTCCTCTTCCGTGAACATCGCTTCTGAACAGAAGCACCGCGGCCGGATAAGCGCTGATAACGAGATGCAACGTCTTCGCATGGCATCCCCGAAATTCAACGAGACGTTTCTAAAGCTTCTGTTTTTGCGCTAATAAGGACAATCGCACGCACATCTAGCGTCGCGTTTTGGTACAGTATTCACGTTGTAATAATTAACGATGCAATAAACCCATTTACAAAAACACAAATATTACCAATCGCCTGCCCGTGCCTATTTCCGTATGAGAGTATCACGGGTCGAGGAGACGCGGAATATATTCGCATGTATATAAAAGCACGCACACAGAAACACAGGCACTCAAAAGCACACGATGACCGAGCTGAAATTGAGCAACAAGCGAATGAAGCCACTTTCTTGAAGCTTACAATGAAAGCACGTCAGAAATGTACCGATGCGGACGATATTGAATGTAAGTTAAAACAGGCAGAAACATGAATATAAAAGTCTTTCAGCTCCATCATCTCATCTTACATAAAAGCTGCAATTTTTTGGTTCTTCGTATAGTTCAACGCTTGGAACAAATGATAAATACAAAATCGCTTCCAAACGCTTATGACACACGTGTCGAATCGCCCATTTTCAATTCGTGAACTCTACCTGGATGGCGTGACCCCTTGCCGACAGAGAACAACCGCTACATCTACCAACAAGGAGTCGAATTACGACCCCCTACTGCCCCAGGCCGTTACAACACTTCTTCGGTTAGGTTACGGAAGGGAATCATTACAGGGCTACGCACCACCGAGTAAACACCGCTCCAGGTGTGCAACACGGCAATTTGTGAAGCGAGGGAAAAAAAATAACCGTGCGAGTGGGAATCGAACTGGGGTCACGGGGTTCGTAGCGCAGCGCGCTAACCACCGCACCCCACACACGCACCCACACGCATGCATAGACGCGAGCGAGTGAGTGAGTGAGCGAGCGCACACGCACACACAACACCCCCCCCCCCCCCCCCCAAGGGGGCAGCAGGCGGCTTGACAGCCCCTCGTTAGCGGAAAGCGAGAACATTGCTCGCTGGCTGAACGCCAGGACCCCAAAGCGCGTGGTGACGACGGTGATCGCGACGATGGCTCCTTGTGCCATGCGGACCGGCCGACTCGCCGGGCGGCTCGCACAAGAAGAGCGACCATTCACTTCTGGGTCAT